ATCTGGAAAAAAGAAATTTTACTTTATTTCAGCCTAGAAATGGTAAGCGAGAGGCAAGCTGCAGAGGGGTGATGTTTATATTTGGAGGGGCCTGATCCTCTACAGTAGAATTTCCACATCTGCTCATTAAACATATTTGTACTCTCACTTTCTTCTGTAAGATCAGTGAGCTGTTGAGGGTGGTTGCAGAAATAAAATTTTACTGAATTAAAATGTACCCAAGTGATAGTCTGTTTGCACATGTGGTCCCAATTCTTTTCTGTTTCCATGTCTTTGGCAATGTGACTGTGAGCTCCTCCCATCCAGAGGTGGTCTTTTTCTCCACCTCTGACTCAGGGTTGCATTTAGGATTTTTTATTTGTTTTGCCCAATAAAATTTGGTGGAAGGGACAGTGCGCCTTACCAGGCCTTGGTGCATTTCCACTGCTCTCACTCGGAACCCTGGCTGAGCCATGTGAACAAATCCAGGGGCCTTCCAGAGAAGGAGAGGACATGCAGACAGAGCTCATTTATTCCAGCCAAGCCCTCCCTAGATCAGTCACCATAGCTGAGCCCCTAATACATTAAAAGCCCAGCCAAGATCAGCAGAGACACCCCCGCTGACCCACAACTGACTGCAGACTCAATGAGGAGACCAACAGAGATCAGAACACATCCCCACTACACAAACCCATTGGAAAATAAAGTAATTATTTCAAGCTATTTGATTTTAGGATGGCTTATTATATAGCTATAATGAATTGATACTATCATCAAAGTAAACAGAACTGAGGGAAATTATGGAAAAAGCAGTTCTTACTTTTGACATTTGTATTGGTATTTGAGGACAGCACTCACAATCATTCTGTTATTCAAATGCATTTCAGATAACTGTGTATAAAAAAAGTACCTGCACTGAGTTCCCTTCCAGGTAGTCAGGACAGGGTGGGAGGATATGCATGTTTGTGCAGGAAAATCTGTGATTCTTATTTACATGACTGGGCAGGATTTTAACTCCTGTGTGATTCATCCTTTTTATTTTTTAGTTTTCACTTTGTTTATTTTGACTGATTTTTTCCTCCAAATTCTCTACTCACATCAAGCTTACTTGTGATTTGCCAGGAAATACACCCCCGCCCCCAAGACACCATTCCAGATTGATTACACTTAAATATATCACTCTATTGGAAGTACTATCAGCATAGTCTTTGCAAAAAACCCAAAGCATACTTTCAGGAGTTTTTAGAAATTGTTTGTAATGCTTATGTTTAATTCTTAGGCCAAACGGTTTTCTAATGAAGACAGCATTGTGCTTTGTGCAAGAATGGAAACCTCAAAACCATAAAGCTTCTGGGAGAATAAACTAGGATGGTCCACAGATGTAAGATGAAATCCACAATATTGGAGTTTGAAATGGTTAGAGAGGCCCAGACTACAATACAAGCATAAACCACCATTAGAAGAGTGGAACATAATATGCCCCAAGGTGTCTGAACACTCAGTCTGAACACTTGGAGTGCGGGAAACGAGTTAAGTCGGCTCGCGTGAATTGCGCGTACTCCGCGGGAGCCGTCTTTAACTCGGTTCATATAGATTTGCGGTGGAGTGCGGGAAACGTGTAAACTCGGGCCGATTGTAACTGCGTATTACCAAATATTTGTTTGTAATCCACCCTTTTGGTGGATGGAACAAAACCAAAAGACAGAGCCATCTTATATTTTGGCGGGAAATTCACCCGCACTCCAAGTGTGAATTATGAGGCTTAATCTTCAGTTCAGTCAGCAGAAATTGACAATGCAATTTTTCGTTGTATTTATTATACAGACCATGTACATTGTAGAAGTTTCCTTTAGCATCCACTGCTGTACTTTTTGTCCCAGCACTTTGAGGGCATGCAAATACCACAAAGTCATCAACAAGAACAGGCCATGCTCCTTCTTCATTATAATGAGACATGTCATCTGCAATCATTGTACTGAAGTCTAAAAGAAAATTCCAAGTATCTTTTGCTATTGATTGTTTATGATGTCCCAACAAAAACTTTTTCCATAAGTCTAAGAATTTAAATCTTTCATTAAGCATTAAATTCCAGTAGGCAATGGCCATTTCTAGATCTAAACCTTTTTGTCCTGGATTCTTTGCAAAATTAAAAGTAAACTGTTAAAAAAAAAGTAAACTGGGAAAAATCCTTAAATTGTCCTGGTCCTTACAATTCCTCTTCCATCTTGGGTATCTGGGCCTCTGGGCTATCACTTTCTAAGTCTGTCATGCCCTGCATGAACTCTTGTTTGGAGAACTTGCACTCTGTTGCTGCTCTGAACTTCCATGCAATGATCAACCCAATAGTGTTGGCTTGGCATGAGGGCCAGGTCATCACAGAACTGCTGTATGCCATCTATTCCAATTTTATTTTAACCTTGAGGATCTTTGTGTCTAGTGTATAGATATTCTAACTTCTTCCTGTCCAATGATCCTTTAACACTGTCTCATATATACAATTCAGGATTTGGGGGAAAAATTGGTCTGTTGTAACATCTAACTTTCAGTCATTTTGAGACAGGCATCTTACTGCTGCTTTTTCACTAGGTTGTGTGAAGATCATAAAGTAACCCAGGTTATCCTTCTGCAACAACTTAAACTTGACCATGTTGTGTCCTCTGGGCCTCTTCCCTCCTCCTCCAGCTTCAGGGTGAATGGAGGTTAGGTGGCTCCTCTCCCAGGCTCCTGGGCTCCAGTTCATGCACAGCTGAGGAAGCAGCCCTGGGCCTGGGAGAGGCAGAGGGTTGGGGGCAGGTGTCAGGAGCCCTGTGTGAGTTTTCCCCTGGGGCAGGGTCCTTCCAGGCATGTGTGATTCATCCTTTGATTATAAAGATTGAAGATATTCCTGAGTGTAAAGCAGGGGTCCTCAAACTACGGCCCGCGGGCCACATGCAAATACAAATATTGTATTTGTTCCCGTTTTTTTTTTTGTTTTGTTTGTTTTTTTAAATATATTTTTATTGATTTCAGAGAAGAAGGGAGAGGGAGAGAAAGATAGAAACATCAATGATGAGAGAGAATCACTGATCGGCTGCCTCCTGCATGCCCCCCACTGGGGACCGAGCCCGAAACCTGGGCATATACCCCGACTGGGAATTGAACCGGTGACCTCTAGGCTCCTGGGTCGACGCTCAACCGCTGAGCTACACCCAGCTGGGCCCGTTTTGTTTTTTTTTTTTTACTTCAAAATAAGATATGGTGCAGTGTGCATAGGAATTGTTCAATAGTTTTTTTTTTAACTAATAGTCCGGCCCTCCAATGGTCTGAG